GTCCCGGGTTTACAATTGCACCTTCCAGTCCCTTAGCTCTCGCCCCCACCGCCGTGATGGAGCCATCGGGGAAACTGAGGCAGAGGCCTGGAGGAGGGCCTGGGAGACTGAGGGGCCTACGTGCGTCAGCGGGGCAAGGCCCCGCCCCTGCAGCCGCGGAGGGATTTGAAGGGGCCCAAGCCACGAGGGGTGTACAGGCCACCCAGCAAAGTCGTAAAGTAGGAAGGGACAGGGTCCAGGCCTGGCCTAAAGGTGGGGGCTAGGAAGCAGGCATCTGGCAGCGCCCCGCCCCACCCAGGTGGGGCTCATTGGCCCCTCTGCCTGAAGCGCCTGCACCCAGCACGGCAGGCTTCACCCAGGTGGCGCTCATCCGTGGGCCCGCGGGGGCGGGGCAAGATTAGGGGAGGGGGCTGGGCTGGGGCATGATGGAGGCTGAGCCAGCGCCGGACCTTTCGATCATGATGCTGCGAGAACTGCTGGCGCCATCCTGTCTGGACCCCGAGCCGCTCCCCGGACCCCCGACCCAGCAGGCGCCAAGGACGCCACGATGCCTCAGACCCAGTGGCAGGTGCGTTAAGGAGCCGCCCCTTCCCAACTGGCCCAGTGGTCAAGGGTCATGACCTCTGGTTCCTGGGGTTATTCAGGGGTCACAATGTTAGTTACTGGTACTTGCAAATAAGAGGTTATGGTCCCCAGGGGTACGTGGGGTCATATGTGGTCAGAGGCCATGCAATTGCCCTTGCCTCATGTCTCCGAGGCCTTTGTAGGTGCTGCCCAGGGAAGGAGTTGACTACACTGCCCCTTGTCCCCAGGTCCTTCTGGCCTGCACGTCAGGACTCGGTCACCAACCTGCGTTTCCTCCAAGAGACAGCAGAGGGGCTGGCTCAGCCCCCTGCCCAGGATACCCAGGCCCTGGGGCCCTGCTGGGAGCTGAAGGCCCTGGGGGTGCTGGGACCCTCACCTCTGGCCAGGAATACCAGGGCCATGCTGACCCCAATTAGCCAGCAAGGAGGCAGCCTGGGGCCTCCCGGGATTCCACCGGCCCCTTCAGCCCCACCCCAGAGGAGACTCCGGAAGCAGCCGAACCCGCACCAGGGCGCGGAGAAAGTGGACCCCTGGTTTGAGGGAGTGACCCTGAAGTTTCAGATAAAGCCGGATTCCAGCCTACAAATCATACCCAGCTACAGGTAGGAACTGGCCTGGGTGAGGGCGCCCTTTATACAGTTAATAATGATAATGGTAGAGACAGAGGCCTGTGGTGAGGCGTCTCCAGGCATGGGCTCACAGACTTCTACACCAGCCCTGCAATACAGATGGCCAAGTCTCTGAGCAAGACTGGTGCCATTCACTGCCCTGATGCCATAGGCAGTCATATCCCAGTCTGAGGCTAAGTCTCCTATTTATGAGACAGGCCTGACCACACTGAAGGCTGCTGTTATTTTTTCCAATAATGATAATAGCTATCATTTGTCAGAAACAACAGTAAGAAGTAACGCATAGCACTTGATGTATATGGGTTCATTGATGCCTTGTAAAGCCCATTTTACAGATTCAGGAACTGAAGCAGAGGGGGCATCACTTGTCCAGGGTCACACAGCAAGGACAGAGAGAAATGGGATTTCAACCTGGTAGGCTGGCCCTGGGCTACCTCTTTAAATAATAATAATTATTATTACTAGTGAGAGACAAAACCAGACCTTTCTGACATCAGATGCCTCCTGAGGGATGCCTGATATCTTGATAGTAAATCTTTATTTTGGGAGGCTTTCTGGGACAGGATACAGATTCCCTAGTACTAATGCCTTGTCTGCTCCCCAGCCTGGCCAGCAGCAGCCGCTCTCAGGGTCCCCCTACAGGCCTCGAGGCCAACCTAGGAGGCAGCGAAGCCCTGGGTGAGTCCTGAAGACATGAGAGCTATAAATATTGGGGGAGTGGGGTAACCTTCTATCATCTCTGTCTCCCCATCCTGCTTCCCCATTTAGACCTATCCAGAATGAGTCTCAGTGCCTCCCTTCACTCTGCTGAGTCACCCCCACCCCGGGCTTCCTCCTCTGCTGAGCTTTGCCATCTGTCTCCCTTCCTGACTTTCCCTTTTCTTAGATCTGGCAACACCTGGGAGTGGCCCAGACCCTTCACAGAGATCATCCCAAATTTCCCCACCCCATATGGGCCTCCTGAGCCTGGACTCTTCGCCTCTGACTCCTGCACTTTGGCCTCTGCCTTTTCAGGGCCCCGGCGCTGTGCTTCCTGTAGGACCCAGAGAACCCCACTCTGGAGAGATGCTGAAGATGGGACACCTCTCTGCAATGCCTGTGGTATCAGGTCCGCGGACTGGAGGAGGGAGTTGGAGTGGAGTCCCCAAATCAGCCTGTGCTTAGCTAGCATGGGGTATTGGGAAGAGAAAATACTCACCTTTGGGGAAGTGGTTTCCTTGTGGTGGTTTCTGTGTCCCTGGTGCATCCTGAATGTTGGTTTTTTTGTACCCCCACCCCAGGTACAAGAAATATGGCACCAGGTGCTCCAGCTGCTGGCTGGTGCCCAGGAAAAATGTGCAGCCCAAGAGGTTATGTGACAGATGTGGGATGTCCCTGGGCCCCAACCAAGGCCCAACCCAGGAAGGGTAAGCCCTTCCTCACCCAGCCAAGCCTGTCCTGCCTCAGTTTCTCTAGGGGGAGAGTAGGAAGAAGCCCTCCTAAGAGGAATGGGGAAAGAGCTTGGGTCTTGAGGGTTCCAGCCTGCTTCCTCTGTGCCCTCTTCCCATTCAGGGACCCCAGGCAGAAGACCCAGGCCTCAGGCCCCAGAGCCCCTGTCTCAGGGGTTCACTGGCCTTCTCCTTGACCCCTGCTCCAATCAGGCTTGGCTGAGCTCCCCCTCAGGAAATGTTCTCAGTAGTGACATTCATGCTGTTTGTTAATAGCAGGGACAATAAAGAGCAGAACTACTCAGAGAAGGAGCTCTGTGACTCGGGGCTCCCACCTCATGTGCCCTTACCTGCCACTCCCCCAGCCCTAGAATGTGGGGTAGGTGTTTTCTCATTGGGGTTCTGAGGGATACACAGTCACATATATAAAGGCACCAACCCACATAGGGGATTAGCCACATGCATCACAATGTCCCATACAGGGAAACAGCCACCACATACAGAGACAGACAACACATACAGACACATGCATCAACACACTGACACACAGGGACAGACACATATGTGCTGACACTCACATAAGACAAACACATAGAGACAGACCACACACAAGACTGAAAGATACATGGGTTGACAGACACATGTCCACTGATACATGATAGATACACATGTCGATGGACACACAGATACACATACACAATCCAGACACACACATCATATACAGACACACATGTCAACAGATGCACATGACACCTTGATACAGTGATACAGATACAGGTGGGCCCTTTATCTGTAAGCTCCACTCCTGCCTGTAGAATGTCACCTTATTGCATCCTTACAGGCACCACTCCCTGCTGTGTCCCCCTCCCCCTGTTTCAAGATCTCTCTAACCCCACCAAAAGGTGTTCCCAGCCTGAAGCCAAAAGCCATGTGGGAAAGGCAAGCCCTGGGCAGGGTTTAGCCCTGCCACTGTCCCCAGGACACACTGAATGCCAGTGCTCCCTGGGAGGGAGGAATGGGAGTCAAGGATGGGTGGAATGCAGTGAGGGCAAAGGTGGTCCCTGCCTTGGGGGCTGAAACTTGCCTGGCCTTGTGCCTTGGAAAGGCAAGCCCCTGCAAGACCCCCTTTGTCTCTCCTTGGTGGGCCTATACAGGCCTGGGCCCACATTCCTCTGCCCTCATATCCCCGACTCATTTGGTCTCACTCTTCCTTAGCATAGAACACCCCACGACTCTCAAAGCTGCTGCCTTCTCACCACTTGGGGAGGGGAGGCTCAGCCCTCAAAGAAGCCCACCTTCACAACCCTGTCCAAAACAGACACCCCACTCCCACCCGTGGTAGGCTCAGCTTCAGCTCCTTGCTGGTCTCCTGCTTAGAATTTACCAGAATTTTTAGTTCTCTACTGGACCATGACTTCGAAGGTCCAAGGTTACCACCACATCTGTGTCCCTGACCATGACAGGCCACCTCAGCATCCAACAGGGAGAACCTCTTCAGGAACTCACATGGAATACACAAAGATCTCAGACTGTGTCTGCAAACTTCTGACTGCTTTTAGCCATTTATTCAACATTTTTTGAGCAATACTGTGTGCGAGGCCCCAATGGAGACACTGCATGGTGAATTGAACAAAGATCCCTGCTCTAGTGCAGCCAGTATTCTAGAGTGTCAGTAAAGAAATATTCAATTAACATGTCTAATAGAATGTCAAGTAATGATCAGTACTACAGAGAAAAAAAAGAGTATAGAAGGAGATAAGAAGTTGGGTGCTACCTTAGCCATGGTTCTCAGGAAGGCCTCTCTGACATTTGCATAGAGACGTTAGGATAAGGAACCAGCTGTGGGACTATTTGGGGTGAGGATACTGGAAGCAGATAGAATGGCAGGAGCAAAGGCTCTGTGGCAGGCAGGACTTTGTGGGGTTCAAGAAACCTGGAGGAGGCAGGTGGGAGTGGAGAGAGGTGATTGAGGGGGGTTGGACAGCAGGAGCTGCACCACCCTTGTGCCTTGTTGCCTTCTGTACTTGGTACCCAGCACTGGCTTGGCCCCTAGTGCCTCATTTCCTGCTCTCACCTTTATTCATGAAATGTTTCCATGGGCAGCTGATGGAGCTGGAGCTGCCCAGACCTGCTTCCATTCCTGCAGCTCTGTTCCTGTTTTTGAGAGAGAAGACTGAGGCGGGGGTAGGAACACAGCTGTTCTCTCCTTATGCTGTGGGGAGCTAGGGACATAGTGCTATGCTGTGGGGGTTGTGGCTGATACCCTATGTATCTCTGTTGAATCATGATGGGCCAAATCCAGAGGCAGGTTGGAGGTAAACTGAGGCACTGAATGAAGGAAGCATTGAGAATGGGGCAGGGACATCCTAGGGACTGACACCCATAGCTGCAGCCACTGCCTTCCTTTACCATCCAGTGGAGGCCTCAGGGTAGGGTCCCCACACCCAGACACCTGGGAGAGGGGGTCCATCCATCCTGGGAAGGCAGCTTCAGCTCTGCCTGGAACCAGGCCTGGGGAAGTATTTAGCTGGATTGGAGGGCAGTTCTGGGCCTAAGATATAACCAGCAGGAAGAGGGAGGAAGGAGCATGGTCCCCACCCTGGCTCAGGAAATGGGTAATGGAGAGAAGTTCCAGGTCACACCATGCAAAGACGTCTTGAACTGTGCCCCACACATAGTAGGCCCTCAAAAACAAAAACAGGTTTTTGAATGAATAACCCATAGGCTGTTTCTACATCATGGAGACCAATGACACAGACCCAGAGTCCTTTATAAAAACTTTATTGGGTGGGGTTAGAAAATGGGGGTGACATCCTAGAGTTGAATACATAAATAAACGAATGAATAAATAGAACAGTAAGCCCCCTATGTGTCTGGGGGGTGTCCCCGGCCTGCGGGGAGAGGGTAGTGGGCTCACGCTGATGTCAGCTGGATGGAGAAGACCTCGCCCCCTGCCGGCGTCTCTACGGTACCATCAGGTTCTGTTCCACCTTGGGCACTGGCATTTCCGCCTGTGCCACCACCCGCACCGTTAAGACAGACAGCCTCACCCGAGCTCTCGGCCTCCTGCACGTTATACTCTCCCTTCTTGCAGGCGGTGGACTGCACGTAGAAGGCCAGGCCAGCCCCCGCGGCCAGCAGCACTGCGCCCCCCACCGCACCGCCCACGGCGACCCACAGCCACGGACCTGTGGGGTGAAGCCCCTCAAAGAGGGTGGACGAGCTTGGGGCCCCTCCACCCTAACAAGACACCAAGCCCGAGGCATCCCCAGTGCTGATGGGACCCGTGATCCATTTTACATGCCACCCAGCACATGGGGACATAAGCCCCTGGCTGACCAGAGATACCCAGAAGTCAACTCTCTTCACCCCCAAAACAATGAGGGTGGGGGTGGGGAAAACTGTCATTCCTCTACCTCAGAAAGAACCAAGTTTCAGAGTGACACAAAGTGGGGGTAGGGATCTAGTTAGGGCCCCCCACTCCCATCCTCTGCTCTTGGTTCCTCTCCGAGTCCTCTTCTGCACAGTGACACAGGGGAGGGTGAATTGGACTAAGCATCCACCAGGCAGAAAACCTCCTCCCAAGTTAATAAGTCCCTCCCCACAGCAGTCACAGCCCTGGAGGGTTCCCCCCCTTGAAGTTCATTCAGCTCCCTCTCCTTCCACCCCCAACCAGCCATCAAAGCCCCTCACATCAGGACACCCCTGAATTCTATCCTGGCCTCCTTCAGTCTGTGGGGACTGAGAGGGAGGCCAGGTGTCCCAAGGCTCAAGCCATGCCCTGCCAGGTACCACTTACCGGCCACACGTATGGTGATGCGCCGAGTGTGGCGCCCATGCATATTGGTGGCTGAGCACTCATACTCTCCTCCGTGGCTACCCAGGGCACCTGCCACGCTCAGTGTGCTGTTGTTGCTGGACAGGCCGATGTTGAGTGCCCCTGGGGGTGCGCGCCAGCTGATCTGGGCAGGGGGCCAGGCCTCAGCACGGCAGGTCAACGTGAAGTTTCCACCTGGCCGCACACCTCCTGGAGGCGAGGCAGCCAGTTCAGCCACCACCGGCTGGTCTGCAGGGGACAGGAGGTTGGACGAGGGTTCAGCGCCAGCCCTGAGGCTGACCAAGTGCCCTGCTTCAGCCCACCACAATATGACACCACCCCTGCTTGGATGCACAGGCGAGGATCCTGCCTCCTCTCAGAGCCCCCTTCCCCTACAGTGTGGCTGTAGTCCATACTAAAATCCTGCTCCCTGCAGGAGGAGGAGGGGACCGGAGCCAGTGCCCCTCTGACTCAGGACTTGAGGGGGCACGGCCTCCTGTTCCCTAGAGTTTTCATTGCCCTCAGGTTTGGGTCCAATCCCTTATCCCTGAGAAAGGGACTGGGGGAGGTGTCCTTGAACTCCCCTGCACAGTCCCACAGCTGCAAGTCCCTGTTCTGGGGACTGGGGACTTAGGACCCTCTGTCTGGTGCTGCCCCCACTCACATTCCACGCCCACGGTGATGGTCCGGGCGTCAGTGCCATGCACATTGGTGGCTAAGCAGAGGTAGATGCCCGCATCCTGTCGGGACACGTGCATCCGCTGAGGCCAAGGGCCACCCTCCCGGGAGCAGCTCACTTGTGGGGAGGGGCGACCCAGGGCGGTGCAAGCCGGCACGGCAGCCTCAGCCCCTTCCAGCCATGTCTGGTGACTCGGACAGGTGGACTCATCCATTTTTGGAGGTGCTGCAAAGCAGCCATGGGGAGGCGTCAGGGAGGGGCCAGACTGGGCACCCCCTACTCCCACCCTCCTGGGCCCCGCTCACACTCCACGCTCACGGCCACCATCTTGACCATGGAGCCATGCCGGTTGGTGGCATTGCAGGTGTAGATACCAGAGGCAAGTTCACTAGGAATTCTGGGGGCTCTGGGACTGGGGCCTGGGGGTGCCAGTGGCAGCAGCACCCTTTCACTGGTGCCCCTGGAGCCAATGCACTCCACTCTTGGCTGTGGCTTCCCATCAACCTCACAAGAAAATAGCCGTTCAGATCCTTCCACCCATGTCCAATTGCTGGGGCAGCTCAGCTCCTCAAAACTGGGGCCGTCTGGGGAGCAGAGGGTCACACAAGGGCTGAAAGTCAGACCAGAGTTACCCAAACATACCCTAACTTGTCCCTTGCTGCCCCCACTCACATTCCACTGTGATGGCCACATTTTTGGCCGCAGAGCCTCGAGCATTGGTGGCTTCACAGCGGTAGGTGCCTGCATGCTCCCGAGCCACACGCAGCATGCCCTCCATAACCTCAGACTCCCCAGAGCGCACACAGCTCACGTTGGGCGGCGGCACCCCGTGTGCCACACAGCTCAGCGAGGCCTCTGTTCCTTCCAGCCATGTGATACGTTCTGGGCAGCCCACGGTGTCCAGCGCTGGTGCGTCTGGAGGGGAGAGTTTTGTTAGGTTTGGGGATAGTCCTAATGTCCCTAGATCCTCTTTTCTGCTCCAAGGCGACCACATAGGAGTGGGCAGGCCATGCCCTGCACAGGGGCGCTGATCCAAATGGGTTTTGCGCCAGTCAAGCCATCCGCTGTTTGGGGGCTTCATGAGCTGTGAGGGTGGTACCTCTTTCCGATTCCTGCAAAGTGCCCACAGGACCTTTCCCCAGGGTTTGGCCTAAAAGCTGTTAGATGGCTTATAGCACACTTTCCGAGACTCCGCCCAATGCCACGCCCACACACTCCTATAGACGTGCCCACCTTTTCTCATCCAAGGTCTTTCCCTAATCCCGAACACCAGTCTATTCCGTTTCCAAAATTCCTACCCAAAGATATCCCTCAGACCTTGCTCCTGCTCTTCCCTATAAACCGGCCGCCTCAAGACCCTGAGAGTCAGACAGAGATGTACCCTGCACACGCCCACTCACACTCCACGGTCAGCGTCACGTCCTTGACTGCTTGGCCCTGGACATTGGCCGCGGTGCAGCGGTAAGTGCCCGCCAGCGCGCGAGCGATGGGACCCGGCAGGCCCAGCGCCAGCACGGCCCCGCCGTCGGGCCGGGCGCAGCGCACAGAGGGCGCTGGGTTTCCCCGGGCCTCACAACGCAGCGTCTGCTCTGGACCCTCCGGCCGTGTCCAGCTCCTGGGACAGTCCGAATCGTCCAGCCGGGGAGCGTCTGCGGGCAGGGATGTGGGATAGAGAAGGCTACACGTGGACCGTGAGAAAGGCTCCACTTCCACGACACGGCCAGGGCCTGGGCAGGTCCTTGGAGACCTCGAAGAGGGAGGCAAGAGCTCAACTCACACAGGACTCGGAGTTCAGTGCTCTCGTTCTTGCTCAGGATCTCCCCGTCGACCTCGAGGGCGGCGTGGCAGAAGAAGCCGCGTCTGTCGTCGTTCGCGGTGGCGTTTAGCTGGAGCTGGACGGGCTGTCCCGGGGCTGTGGCTGGAACTCCATCCAGAGTGACCAGAGCTCCGGCCTCTGCAGCGCAGGTTACTGTCACCATCTTCCCCTCAGGGACCCTGGGCTCGCTGAGGGTCAGGACGGGGGCGGGGAAGCCTGCAGGTGGAACATTTGCGGGGAGTCAACTGACCACACCCCTTATCTGCGGGAACTCGTTGTGGATACGTGGCCCTGCCTCCCGACCTGCTCAGGCCCCGCCCCTTCGCACCCCACCACTCGGAGGTGATCCCCCAGCCTCCTCCGGGCCCCGCAGCTCAGACCCCGCCTCTCTCGCTATTTGGTTTGTGCTCCATCTGCCCCGCCCCTTCGGGACTCCAGGCCCCGCCCCCAAGTTAAGGCCCCACCTACTCTTTGTCCCGCCTCCGCGTCCCTCCGGCTCCACCCTCGAGCCGAGGAGGTCCGGCTCCCCTCCCGCTTACTGTAGACAGTCACTGTCTCCCAGGTCTCTCGGTTCTCGCCCCCCAGGGTGACGTTGCAGACCAGCTGCCTGGCGCCCTCCTGCTCCGCGCTGGCTGTGGCTGCGGCAGTGGCCCTGAGCGTGTCCCCCTCGAGGATGATATCAGGACTCAGCCTCTGGTCCCCCAGCGCCAGGTAGACCCGGGCTTCCGAAGCTGGAAACAGCCCATCCAGGGAGCAGTTCACATGTCTTTCCGAGCCCACTTCCAAGAGCCGGGGCGCAGCGAGACGCGGGGGTTCCGGAGGCAGTGCTGAGTCGAACAAGAAAGCTTGACTTTAAGTACTGAACACTCACTATGTATGTACTGAGCGCTTTACAAGTGCTGTCTTCTGCTATCCTCGAGACACAGAGAGGAAAACAGCTCTCAGCTGGTGAGTGTTGGTGTGAAGATTAGAATTCAAACTTCTCCACCTCCAAACTTCTTAAACATCGGGCCAACCCCTCTGCGTCCCCTTCTGTTCCCCGCACCCACTCACCGAAGGTTCGGAGCATTCTGGGGGCCGAGCTCTTTTCAAACAACCCCAGCCCGTGGGGCCGCAGGTCCAGCTCCGCGCGGCACGAGAAATTGGCCCCGTGGTCCTCCCTCCGCGCCAGCACTGTGGCCGTCAGCACCGCGCCCCGCGCTCGGGGCGACTCTCCGGAGAAGCTGCGGCGGATCAGCTCCTGGGCGCCCCGCAGCAGGGTCATTGCGAGGCTCCCACGAGGTCCAGCGCCAGGGACCCTACAGCTCAGGGTGAAGTTCTCGCCCACAAGCTGCCAGGTAGGCAGGGGCATCAGCTCTACACGATCAGGCCGCTCTGCAAGGGAGGAACCAAGGTTCTTGGAAACGCCGGGGCTCAGCTGTATTTGTAGTGGTACCCAAGGGCCACGAGGGGAGGGCTTGGGGATCCAGAGGCTGGGGCCTGAAGGGGAGGACCACGTGAGCCATGGGGAGGGGACTGGAAGGGACGGAAAGTAGCGGAGTAAGAGCTTGGCTGCTGAGAACTCACGAAAAGTACGAATGAGCCCACGAGCCTGCAATGTGCGCCGCGCGCAGCGGAAGAAGCAGACTGGCTGGGTCTCCGGCTCGCGGATGTCTACCAGCTGCCGCGCCAGCCAGCGCAAACCCCTCTGGGTCCCATTCCGGCGCAGCGAGGTCTCCAGGCCACCGCGCTCGGGCCGCGGGCAGTTGGTGCTACAATTCAGCCACAGCGATCCCCCGCGCTCCACGAGCGCCACGCGGGGCTGCAGGTCCGCCCAGAGAGGCTCCTGCGCGACCGCTGCCCGGAGAAATGGGAGCTCAGCCCGGGAAGCCACCTCCCTGGCATCTTAGTGCCCCTACGCTGCGTCGAGGATTCCCGGGGAAGGAGCAGAGGCCGGAGTTAGAAAAGAACTCAGGAGTCCCGAGTCCTGCTCCCGCCTCAGGTTTGGAGGCACGCTCCCAGGGTACAAACCTCTAGGGTGCCTCTGGGACGTGGCAGCAGAGAGCCCTGGTCTCCAAGGTGCCATTGGGGTGGTGGGAAAGCATGGGGGATGGGGGCGGTGAGGGAAAAGATGGGGCCTTCCACACACACAGCAACGCTGGGAAGAGGGGACCCCAGGTGGGGGAAGGGGAACGAACTGGTCCTCGGGGTTATCACGGAGAAAGGGGGTGACTGAGATTGAGGCGAGGGCAAAGGAGAGATGGGGCTGCATCAAAGATAAGGAAGAACCCTAAACGCGGGTGAGTAACGGGGAAAGAGGTCGTGGGGCTAGGCTCAAGGAAGGAACCGTGGAAACGTCGAGGAATTCGGTTGCCAGGCCTCGGGTGGGGAGGGAACAGCGCCTCTGAGTCACGGCAGTTGGAGAGATCAGGTCTTCGCAGGCCGCAAGTGGGTAAGATGCCAATCCGTGGACCATGGTGCATAGCAGAACGTGAGGAGGTACCCCGGGAGGGGACAATGACGACATGGGGTTTCCGAGGCGCAAGGTTGGGTGCAGAAGAGAGCCCAGGATCTCGAAGGGGGTATGGTAGAGATCTGGGCGAGCGAGGAGTCGGGAAGCTGGGTCTCCAGTGTGTGTTGGGGGAAGAGATATAGAGAAAAAAGCCCACGGCTCAAGGTGGGGGCAGAAGCGTGGGAGCGAGGCAAGGGCGGAGCCGGGAGGGGCATGTGGCCGCTTCCCGTGTCCGGGAACTCCGCCCCCGCCCTGTCCACCAGGAGCCGGGACGGGCTCTTACCTGAGAGGCTGATGAGCCCCAGGCCCAGGGCAGCCCAGAGTCCGAGCAGCGCCCGGCGCAGCCCTGGCGAGGGCCCTGGCATCGCTGCCGCGGGGAAAGTACAGGAGGAGAGGGGAGCGGGAGCGCTGAGCTGAGCCAGAGGACTGCGAGGCGCAGCGCGGCGGGAGGGGTGTGGAGGAGGCACAGTTGGGCTCTGGGATTGGTTTAACGTTGGTAACTTGGTTTCCAAGGAGGGGGAGGCGGCAGAGGCGAAGGGGAGGCGGGAGGGCGAGCGTGCGCCAGGCTCCAGGCCTCCGTGAAGGGGTGCTGGCAGGAGCTAGCGACCCCCGGCGTCTAGGTGGAAGCAGGCCCCATCACCCGAAGCCTCCTGGGGACGGCCTCGAGCTCTCGGGTCGTCCCAGGCAGCGACGCGGGGGTCGAGGGTGGAGGAGATGCTGGGTTGCCCATCTAAAACCCCCACTCCACCCCTCGCTTAGATGCTGTGAAAATGACCTGGACTCTGAGCTCCGCCCCCCACATCTTGCCCTTCCCACCAACGCCCCTCGGAGCCGGAATTTATTTATGGGCCAGGAGAGATTTGGGAAGCGCAGGATAATAGGGTAGGCACAGTTCTAGAGGCGGGTGTGGAACGCCTTCCTCCAAGGCCCTTCCCCTTTTGACCTCGGGGATTGAGGATTACTGCGGTGCCCCTAGTCCCACTCCGGCTCCGCCCCCGCACGCGACAGAGGGGGCGGGAACAAAAGTGCCAGCTAGTCAGGAACACGTGTTCGTGTGCTTAGCATTCCCCCGCGTCTAAATTAGGGTCGCCTCGGCTCCGCGTCTGTATTTACCCGGCGTGCAGCGGGCAAGTGTCTACTGGGCGTGTGCGAGCACGAGCTGCGGAACAGCACCCCTGAATTCTCTTTCCGTGCAGCGGCCAGGGCCCTGGACCCCATGGGCCCTGCCAGGCATCCAGTGCGGACTCGGATAGTGTCCACGCGAGATCAAGAGACCAACTGCGACACTTCTGACCCCGCATCAGGGCCCCCACGTACCCACCAGGCCCTGTGACTATCAGAGCGTTGCCAGAACACCAGTCTGTGCCATCCCACGAGGACCATCTGATTGCTCCTTCCCCCCACTCAACACATGAGTACCTTTTCTGCGTATCCACGTCCCTTTATATGTCCATGTGAGCCCTCCCATTTGTGCTCTTGTCCCCAGCGCTAATACGTGAACTATGGGAATCAGTTCTAAATCCACCGTAGTACTCCAGAAAGTGTAGGATTAAAAGTGAAAAGGGGAGGAGGGAGAGGAAACACAACATCCAATCAGAGCTGTGGCGAGGTAGTGCTGAGCCAGTCAGCAAAAGCCAGGCGATGAAGGCGCCCGCCCATAACCCAAGGCCCTCCCTGGGCTTTGCCCATCTGCAACGCACTGATAATGCCTGCAGGAGATGTGTTTACTACACAGGCTGGAAATGCTGAGGGATTGGGGACCCTAGGTGGACCAACGTGAGGAAAACTCAGGTACCCTCAGGAAGACAAGGAGCTTGGAGAAAGTGATTGTGACAAGGCCAAAAAAAGACCACTTGTGGAGGCAGCGCCCTAATAGAGGACCTTCAGGCCACGGACAGGCTGACTGAGGAAGGCTTTATTGATTTAGGCAGGGGTCTCCAAATGTCCCAGATGTCTTTTTCTCCCACTCAACCGGTATGGATCACCCCCTCTACGCCCGGGACTGCATCAGTAGGTACTTTCGCAGATAGGCAGCCCCCACAAGGATAAGAATCCCCACAAGGGCTGCGATGGAGGTGGAAGTCAAGGCTTTAGACGCAGGGTTCCAAGCTGCGGGCAGGAGGTGAGAATTAGGAATGGAGCACTTGGAGGCACAATGACCCACGTGGAGCTCAAGCTTGGCCAGGGTACCCTCCTGGGGTCATAACCCTTCTCCGCCCCTCCTCAAGTCCCCAGGATTACAAGGATGCCTCACCCAAGAATGTCAGCGTCATGGGTGCTGAGCTGCTGCCGACCACCCGGCCGTCGAGATTGAGGCGCGCGTGGCAGGTCACGGGCTGCCAGAGATCTTGGGGCCTAGCCCGTAACGCGTAAGTCAGCGTCACGTTGGCCAGATCCAGGCCTGTGAAGCGCTCCAGGCTCTCGGAGTAGATGACCCGGCCGCCGCGCTGCAGAGTTACCACCAGGAAGCCCACGGGGAACACGCGCGTCACGTGGCAGCGCAGAGTGTATTCACTGCCCTCTAAGACCGGAGGCTCCAGGATCACGGCGTGCGGCCGTTCTAAAGCAAGAAGGGGCCGCTGAGCAAGGTTCGCGGGCGCCCCCTAGCGCGGCTGTCAATTGCCCCATCTCTGTCCCCCTCCCTTCTCCCCAGCAGGGCCTAAACCCGTGTCCCTCACTGTAGGCGTTGATCCTGGCCGTGGCCCCCCGCGTTACTCCTGCGCAGGTGAGGAAGCAGTGTACATCGGAGCTCCAGGCCCTCACATCCAGCAGCTGGAAGGAGACCCAGCTGGGCCCGCTGAGCACCTGGCCCCGCCGCAGCCCAGTGTGGAGGGTGGAATCCTCCAACAGCGGGCAGCTGCTGCTGCAGTTGAGCCACACTGCACTCCCCGGCGGCACAGCTATGAACTTGGGGCTTATGCGCATCCAGAACGGCGGCGCCGTGGTCTCTGAGGGCGCTGGAGAGCTGCCTCCGGGGCTTTGCGCCCCCGCAGCCCAGCGCCTCCGCGCATTCCTGCCTCCCGGGTAGGCTGCCGGCAGCAAAACCAGCAGTGAGAGGGGGAGCAGAAACCCCATGAAAAAGAGCCCGAGCTGAGGGACCCCGCGCCAGGAAGCCAAGGCTGGCTCAACAGATAAGCAAGCTCAAAGCCCCGCCTCCCCAGCCCCACCCAGAGAGAGGCGCTCCCAGAGGGCCAGGTGCTCTGCAATACACACTCCTCCTCCCTCAAGAATGGGATTCCAGACCCTGTTATAAACCAAATGTTCTCGAGTTTTTCCCAGAGAGGGGTCTTTAATTTTCCCTAGAGTCTCAAAAGTTGCCAATAAACCCAGATTTGGATTAGGGTCTTGGTGTTGCTCCTTGAACAGCAGCCTTTCTTGGGGGGAGGAAGTAGGAGGAGAAGGCTGTGGTAGGGCAGCAAGAAAGGGCTCCGGCTGGACATAGCACCTCCCCTCAACTCACACAAGGCTGGGCCCAATGAAAAAGCTTTATTAATCCAAGGAGGGGCTTCTGGAACTGGAAGTCGGTCCTACCCCCACTGTCTGCAGGGCCCTCAGGAATTTGGAGCTAAGTTCTGTTCTCAACATGGTCCCAATGAAATGGAAACAGGTAGGACAAAGCAGGGGCACACGGATTGGGCATAGTTTCGTGGAACCCTGTGGTTTAGCTATCAAGAAGTGGACACTCATGTTTAAGCATGCCACCATGTGTCATTGTGAGCACTGGCAGAGATGCATATGGGTGGAGAGGTGGTTAACAGAGGTCAGCACCAGCGCTGGGGGTTAAGAACTCCATGAGTTGTCCTGAGCATGTCACCAGCTAAACAATGTCAAATTTCTAGTCCCCTTCTAGGGGAAAGCAGTTTGGCCAATGGAGTGGGAAATTCCACCCTGCTTGGTCTTTTTGCTGTGCAGTGCACAGCCAATACAAGTGTACCTGGTGGCCCTGAATGAGATTAGACAGAGCTTCCTGAGGGCAGGAACTTCTGTTCCTCTTGTTTACCATTCCACTGCACATAAAAGGCACTAATAAATAACTGGTAAAAGAACAAATGAATAAATATGTCATCATCAAGAGCTGGGACCGGTCAGTAGATAGCACTGCCAGAGCTGTGTGGGAATTTGTGTTCTGATGCCGCCTGTATGTGGTCAGTGCCACTCTCTCTTATGACTGTAGGGCCTTGGCACATGCAGTAGGGGGTGAGTTTCAATGTTTTCCAGATGGGTGTCCCCATGTCGGAGGTATATGTCTCCATTACACCCCTCTGGCCAGGTCAGCCTTTGACATCCCTAACAGTCATGCCCCTAGTCTTGGCCCCGAGTCTTGGCTCAGTTCTGTGGCTACAGGTCAGGCATGAGTCCTGAGTGTGCAGGTGCCATGACCCTAAATGGTGTCTATTCTGACTGAGGCCTCTATCCTGTCCTCTGGCATTCTAGGAAGGTTGATGCTGCTGAATGGCATATGTATGCCACTGTTCCAATGAAGCACCGCTGTGACCAGTGGAGGCCCTGTCCAGGGACAGGCTCAGGGTGGCGTGTTCAGCTTCATGGCAGCTGCCTCCTGGGCCTTCTGTAGTTTGTACTTCCTGATCTTCCGCTGGCGGTTATAGAGGTAAATGGCTGTGCCCACAGTGCTCAAGATGACTAGAGCTGCCACGGAAATGATGATGGCCATTTTTTCATTCTGGTGATCTGTTGGGAGAACAATAGGAGGAGGTGTGGGTGGAGCCAGGCTCATTGCCCCTGCCCTTCCCAGCCTCAAACACTGGCACACTCACAGATCACGTTCACAACCACTTCACGGGTGACCGCACCGAGATGGCTGGTGGCATGACACACGTAAGTGCCCGAAATACTCCGCATGACAGGCCTCAGGTCCCCGATGGGAAGCAAAGCCCCATCCCCTTTCCGGTGACAGTCCAGCTTGGGGGTTGGGTTCCCCCTGGCCTGGCACCTCAGGGTCTGTGGGGAGCCTTCCTGCCAAGTCCAGTTTCCTAGGCAATCCTCCTTGTCTAGTCGGGGGCCATCTGGAGAAATACAGCAAGATGAGGGACAGGATCAGGGACCAGAACACCCCTCACCACCCAGGACTTGAGGAGTTAGGTAGGGAACCCAGGGTGGGGGTAGGGTAGGCTCCAGAGACAGGAGCTCATGGGGTCTTAGGGGCTGGACGTTGGGGGTCATTGTCCAGCAGCCCTACTCACACAAGACAGAGAGCTTCTGGTTCTTGCTCTTGTGCAGCACCTTCCCAGCCACCTCCAGGGCAGCAGAACACAAGAAGTCACGGCCATTGTCCTCAGCACTGGCATTCAGCATGAATGGGATACTCATGGCTGGAGACCTAGCTGGGTCACTGCTCAGCGTCACCACAGCTCCAGCATGGGCCTTGCAGTCCACACTCACCATAGTCCCCTCGGGGACCTCAGACTTGCTCAGGGTCAGGTTGGGAGCTGGGAAACCTGGGGGAAGGGTGCACAGTGAGCCCTGCCCCTAGTTCTGGCTCCACACCTCTGAACCCCTACCCTGTCTCTACTTACTGTAGAAGGTCACGTTCTCCCAAGTCTTCCGACTCTCGTTTCCCAGTATCACTGCACAGGTCAGCTGCTTGATGCCTTCCTCCCCTGGAGTCACCTTGACCCAGGCAGTGGTCCAGAGAGAGTCCTTGCTGTACTTGATTGTGGGTTCCAGCCTCTGGCCCTCCAGTGTCAAGGAGACCTGGGCCTCTGAGGCTGGGAACAGCCCATCCAGGGTGCAGTTCACAGGCCACTGTGTGCCCACTTCCATGATCCGGGGGGTACGAAGGAGTGGGTGGGCCTTTGGCAGGACTGGACAGAGAGGGTGGGTGTGAACAGAGGGGGACTGAAGCCCTTTCTTGAAGCATGTTCATCCCATCACCTGGAACTCCTCTTCCAGGGGGAGACTGTGACCTGGGTCATCTCTGACTCAGGACACTCGCACCTCTTACCCTGAATCACAGCCGCCTCAGAAGATCCTGTGGCCCAGGCACCCCATCCCCCAACACCCTACCCCAGTGGCCAAGAACATGCTCTCCCCAGAAGCCTTTGCAATCTAGGTCATTATCTTCTTAGTACCCTCCTGACCAGGAGCCCCTCCTTTCCAGGAACCCCGCACCCCAAGTGGGAACACCGCCTGAGCCTGTCCTCTTGCAGACTCCCCAGTGCCTCACCAAAGGTTCGGAGCTGCCTAGGGACTGAATTGTTCTGGAACAGTCCCACCCCTTGGGACTGAAGGTCCAGTTCTGTGCGGCAGGAGAAGTTAGCGCCGTGGTCCTCTCTGCGTGCCAGCACGGTGGCCGTGACCTCAGCAGTCTCCTCCGCTGCATGCTGCCGGCTCAGCAACTCCTCGCCTCGGAGCAGCATCACAGAGAGGTGTGTCCGGGGCGCCCCTCCCTTCACCTGGCAGTGTAGGATGAGGTTTTCACCCACAGGCTGCCAGTGGGGCAGGGATGCCAGCTCCACACGCTCTGGGAACCCTGGGGGCGAAAAGGAGCATTCTGTGAGCTGGATGGGATACCCGCCAGTAGAGGGCACTGGGGCACCTCACCTGGGCCAGGGAGCCTCACTACTCTCTACCCCAAACACCCAAAACCACCTAAGCCATACAGGAATGTTAAGAACTTCAAGGGAAACCAGTGAGAAGTCCCCAAGTGGTTGCAAAAGGGCAAAACAATTCTTTACTCGCTGCAGCATCTAAGAGTGAAAAGTGGAAAAGAATCTCAGTCTATCACCAGGTGTCTGGTGAAATACACACAGTAAATTTCAGCTGCCTAATCCACTAGAGGTTGTTTTAAAAAGGTCTCTGCTCCCCCTTTTCCTATCTTGGCCTTATTTTTCTCTGTAGCACCCCTCACCCTCTGACACAAAAGATCATCTACTCAGTGAACTTGTCTTCCCTCTATTTCCTCCCATAGAATGCCAGCCCAGGAGGCAGGAATCTTTGCTTTGCCCCGACATGTTGTTACCACACAGTAGGTACTCTGTATTTACAGAAAGAATAAGATTGGACCACACACAAGGATTTGAGGCTTTTCAGGAGCCCACGTTTAAGAGAAAAAAGTCCCCAAATATACTGTGTGATCCTCAAAATGTTAAAAAGGTGAGAACCCACAGACACTCAAAATACAACTCTGAACAGCCCCTGAAAACACAACCTGTGGGCTCGGTTTTCACAGGTCACGGTTTCCATTTTGCGCCAGGTAACAAAATTCTGAGCCTGGATTGCCAGTGAAAATTTATAGTAGAGCCCTGGAGAGCCATGACTTAGCACTGAGATCCCCCAAACTCCCCAGGGAGGGTTTTTGAGGGCTCCAGGTCACTGTTCCCTTCTCAAGAGGCCCGGCCCTGAAACGTCACTTGGCAATGCTGTTAAAGTGTCAGGGTCTTGGGTTTGGTTCCTAGTTTTTCTGCTTCTTTGCTAAGGGCTGTGGGTGAGTGACTTTGCCTTTGGAACAGTCCCAGTCCTCAGGGCTGCAGAAAGGGAGCCTCAGTTTCCTGAGCTGTAAAGTGGTGCTATTGGAGATAGGGCTATTAATAATCCATTTAAGAGGTCGAGAGAGTGAGTATAAATGGTCATAAGGGTTCCTTTTAGGGTAATGAAAATGTTCTAAAATTAGATCGTGGTGATAGTTGTACAATTCTATATATACTAAAGTTCATTGACTTGCACACTTCAAATCTATTTTTTTAAAAATAAAAGGCTGAGAAAAGCCTCAGACATCCAGCTCTGACATCTAATCATCTGCTGCAAACCACAACTTGCAGAGCTAGAGGCCCCCTTGAACCTCAGTGCCCACATCTCCAAGCCCAGCTCTTTGTCCTGCAAACTAGACTCCCAGAAGAGATCTGTCTTGGCCATACTTCTCCTTGACCCCCTACCTCAGGCCCTCGCCAAGTACTGGTAACTCTGCTCTTCAAATATTTGTCTGCCCTTCCCTTCCTGTAAGCAGCCACTGCTCACATGTGTGGCCTGGACAAGGCCCTCAGCCAAGTGTTCTGACTTCCCGTAAGTCTGGCCTGCTATCTAGAACGCTGGCTTGCTCACACTTTTGAAGCGTGGCTCCCTATCACCCTGAGGAAAAGGTCCCAACTCCTCAGCCTGGTATTTGATGACCTGCCAGCCTCAGCTCCAGCCTCACTAATCTGTTGATGTTTAGCCTCTCCTGCCCTCCCAACCATGGATCAGCATGTCTCCCCACTCCAAACCTTTGCCCAGGCTGTTCTCCCTGCCCAGAAAGCCTGTTTACCAACTCCTATGCAGGAGGTGTCCTGCAGGAATCACCACTCTAACCTTTCTAGAGAAAGCTTAGCTACCCAGGGACGCACCTCATCTTTATGCTGAGGGCGGGGCAAGACCAAGCCAAAGTGTCTCCTAGATGACACCCCTGCTACAGTGTGCCAGCTTCCTGTTCCATTTCAGAGTTGGAAACTAAGGCAAAGTCCGGTGCCCAGAGTCACAGAGGGAGAAAATGTCAGAGCCAGGACTCACACCTGAAGTGTTGGGATTTCAACTATCAGGCTGAGCTGTGGAAGGGCTTTCCAGGGAGTTTCCCTGGGTTTTTCAGAGGCCACTGGGAATGTTTGGGGACTTCCCTCACCTGGCCAGCAACTGCTCAAAAATCGTCCAAATCAGAAGCAAAGCTAATATTTGCCCAGACACTGTGAAGATGGAATGCCCTTCATTCCTCACTGTGTCACTATACCCATCCCAGGAGGTCTCATGTGAAAATCAATCAAGAAGCCATGTCCCCCACAGTCACCCAGTTAGTAAGAGTCATGCTGGGACTGGAACTCAAGGCTGTCTAATCCCAAAGCCAGTTGGCCAGTTTCCCTCCCTCCCTGCCTCCCTCCCTCCCTTCCTTCCTCCCTTCTTGGTTTGTTTTGTTCTAATTTGGATTTTATTTATTGCCAATGCTCTTAGTAACTCATTCTCACAGTTCAAAATGCCCAAAGATTTAAAAAAAAAAAAAAAGGCACAAGGAGAAACAAAC